ATATGTACGAGTCGCGACGAATAAGGCAAACGACTGGCGCCTTTTTGTAACGCCGTTGTAGAACACTTATTTACATACGAGTCAACGTTTGCTTTACGAGCCATAAAAGAAGCTTTGGGAGACACCTTTGGGCCGTCCTTTCATCGTCGTCTTTCCGTCTTAGTCCGTTCCAAGAAACTCTTTTCATGAAACTTCTTAACTTATGTATTATTATTGATATCGTGCAATTGTTACGAAGGAAAATTTTTAATAATTCATATTTCTCTCTCTCTCTCTCTCTCTCTCTCTCTCTCTCTCTCTCTCTTTCTCTTAGACTTTTGCTTTTAATTTCACTTTATGTTTTTCTTCTTTCAAATATCATAGAATCATCGAACGAATTTCTTTTTTATTCGTTCACATTTTATCCCGAAGGACGTTAGTGATTAATCGCGAGATGAAACATAATGAAATTTATATCAATAAGGACACTATCGCGTCATCGTTTAATAAATACACAAGAATATTCATAAACATAAGATAAAGGGAAAAAAAGCTTAATCATTTCTATCATGAGTATCTTTGTGGTGCTGCTTGGGAGAGGAGGAGGGGGAGGAGAACGATTAACTACGAGAGTTCTCCCGCGTATGATGACTTAACGTTTATGAACGAGATTCACGCATGGTGGTATTATATGCATACGTTATCTCGTCGAACATTCGAACTCCTACTTTATTTCTCTCTCTCTTCCTCCCTTTCTATATATATATATATATATATATGTATGTATGCTCGTTTATAAAAAGAGAGAGAGAGAGAGAGAGAGAGAGAGGCAAAGAAGACGTAGAGTGAAAATAAAATCGCTCGTTACGTGATTCTCCCGCGCATATAAGAACGACCAACAGGCGAGCCAACGTTTCTACGTTGGTGCGAGTAAGTAGATACCTACATACATAAGTACCTTTATATTTATGACCCTCGGCACAGTCTTGTTCAAAGAGTACGCTTGCCCCTAACGATTTTTTATCTTTAACTTTCAACGCTATACTCGCGTTTTGCATTTATAATATTAAAAATGGAAAAGTATGAAACAGAGTAAGTTTGTTTCTTCATTTTCTAATATTTTTAATCGTTCATTAGGAGGATTCGTGATCGATTAAAAAATGAAGTAATAGGAATTTCTTTATCTCTCTCTCTCTCTCTCTCTCTCTCTCTCTCTCTCTCTATCTCTCTATCTCTCTTTATGATCTATTTCTTATAACTATAGTATTATCATTCTAAATGTACTATGTGCTTTTTAGAAGGTGATCCACCTTATCCTTCGTGTCTACTACGATCTAATTAAACGTCACCGCGGGAACTGTCGTTATAGACGACAATCGAGGAAATCCAATTTAACCCCGTTAACGAAGCATCGGTTCGAATCAGCCAACGAATCGGCACGAATCTGTTCGTGACTACTACCGTACCAATCGTCGTCGTCGTCGTCGTCGTCGTCGTCGTCGTCGTCGTCGTCGTCGTCGTCTCTTTCTTCTTCTTCTTTTTCTTCTTCTATCCCCATGGAATACAAAAGTTCTTCAGACATCATTGAACGCAATCAAAATAGAACTTCTTTGTTCGAAGATGTATACGTATTTTAATTATATCAAATGAGAATTCTCGTTTAAATTTTGTTAGGATTAATTCGTATCGTATAATCGAAATTAATAATAATTAAATTGAACGACATGATATATATGTGTATATCAAATAATATCACGTTTCTTGGTAGATAACGAATAATACTAGAATATCATCTGGTAAGTCGATTAAAGGAAGAAACACAAAATAATTGTCTTATGAGTAATAAACGATAATAACTGCTCGCGCGCGTACTCATCATCATCCGTTTAGCTTCGTCAGCATTCGAGAATGATCAAAAACGAGACGATCGACCGGTTCCGTTCTTCCCTGCTCCCCTTTATGCCCTCCTCCCTCCCACCCTCTACCTTTTGGTATTACGGTCTTACGAGTTTTTCCTTAGCAACTTTTTCTTCTTATTCTTATTCCTCTTCTTTTTCTTCTTTTTCTCTTTCCCCCTCTTCTTCATCTTCCTCCTCCGCGAAACTTGGAGGAGGAAGAAGAAGAAGAAGAAGAAGAAATCGCGAATGCTCGGCACGACTTTTCCAACTTGGCTTCGAACTCGTTCGGAAGTCAAGAAACGATCGAGGAAATAATTAATTCGCGCGGCTCCGATCTCTCTCTCTCTCTCTTTCTCTCTTTCTCTCTCTTTCTCTCTTTCTCTCTTTCTCTCTCTCTCTCTCTTTCGTACGACGCAAGAAATATATTGTTAAATTAAAATGGTACACGTTTATTATTAGAAGAACAAAAAAAGACAATGAAATAAAATAAACGATGAGTCAGTCAGTTTTTAATTTCTGATAAGAGAACGAATCTTCTGCGCAAAAAATTTATTGTTACATTAAATTGATACGTCTGTTATCGGAAAGAAAATAAAAATAAACGATGTCAATTGTTGCTTTTTTTCTCTTTTTACTTTCCTTTTTTCTTTTTTTCTTTTTTTTTTTTTTTTTTTTTAATAATAATAGGAAAACAAATTTTATTATCGAATTGAAATAATATATCTGGTAACAGAGAAAAAAATAACAGGTTAATTGTCATTGTTTTTTTTTATATATATATATATATACATATACAGGACAACGGACTTCTTTCATCAGAAATTTATTGTCAAATTTTGTCAAACTGAAGTAATACATTTGTTATTAGAAAAAAATAAATAAAAAAAAACCTTTTTTTTTTTCTTTGTAGAGAAACAAATTTACAGAATTTTAAAATATTCGTCAGAAATTTATCGTCATAATATGTTTATAATTAAAAAAAAGAAAAAAAAAGAAAAAAAAAAATATATATATATATACAAAAACGTCAGTAATCGATTTTTTATTTTTTTTTAAGGAAACAAATTTTTTTCATAAAAAATTTATTGTTAAACTGAAATAATGCGGCGTTTATTATTATTAAAAAAAAAAAAAAAAAAAAAGAAATAAATAAATGATATTTATTTTTCTTTCTTTTCTTTTTTTTTTTTCTTTTTTTATTTCTTTTTTTTTTTTTTTGTAGGAAAACAAATTTCCATCCTGATGTTTCGTATTACGTGAAATTCTAAACGACGAACGCGGTTTCCCTTTAGAAAATTCTTTATAAAAAGAGAAAGAAAAAAATAAAGAGAAAAAGAGAGAGAGAGAGAGAGAGAGAGAGAGAAAGTGAGAGTGAGTGAGTGAGAAAAAGAGAGAAGAGAAGAGGATAAAAGAGCGCGCGGAACGGAACATCGTCGTCCGTCTCGCGTTTTAGTATCGACCGGCTCGCTTTTGCGCGCTGTAAAATTACTCTTCCTGGATCGAGCCCTTCTCCGTGAAGCCTTCTCCGACACGTCATTCTATGGGACACGTAGGATTACGTTACGTCCGCAACGATACAAGTGTATCTTTCCGCGTAATGTTTTTTTTTCTTCCTTTTTTTTTTTTTTTTTTTTCAAGAGAGAAAGAAAAAGAGAGAAAGAGGGAGAGAGAGAGAGAGAGAGAAAAAGATCAAGTTTCTTTTGAAAAATTTCGTTTCACCATACACTATCAAAAGTTTAATTAACATTACTTGGATTAAGACAGCTCGTTTAATTTGATGTTGTTATTATTGTTGTTATTACTCGAGTGCTTATATTGTAAAAACTAATAAAAGAATGGATTGAATAAAAGTATTAATGAAAGAGAATTCAATCTGAGAAAATGATAGATAAAAGGTATCTATTTCTCGTTCTTTTCTACTCGTTTTCTTTTTCTTTTTCTTTTTTTTTGTTTTTTTTTTTTTGTTTTTTCTGTTTTACTCCTTTATTTTTGTTCCTCTTTTTTTAGTATAACAAAAATAATATCATATGTATCTCTCAAACGATAGAATCGATCGAGAACATAATTTCGTAATGTTATTCAATGGAAACGTTTTTGTGTGTGTGTATATATATATATATATATAAATACACACAAAAATATTAGATCATAGATTTAAAATGTTAATCCCCCTCCAATTCTTTTATCTTTTTCATTTCAGGAACGTGTCCGCGAAACAGAATTTCTTTTCTGTTGCACCCTTAATTAGGATGAACGAACTTTTTAATCAAGATAGAAAAGAGATTCCAACGGAAACGAACGTCCTAAGGCGTTTACGCGTTGAAAAAAAAAGAAGAAAAAAAAACGGAAAAGAAAAAAAAGCAATAAAAGAGAGAAAAGAGAAAGAATAAAAGAAATGATAATAGTAGGGGAAACGCTTTATACGATTGCGATGTAAAAACGAAATAGCATTTTTATGGAATCGAAAGAAATATGTAATAGGTATAAACAAATATGGATGATAATACTTATAGTTAAAAGAATCTTGTTAGAAGAAATTAACGACGAGAGAGATAGAGTGAGAGTGAGAGTGAGAGTGAGAGAGAGAGAGAGAGAGAGTGAAAATGATGTTTACAATGACCCGATCATCGAGATACGTATATCGCAGATAAAATCGACGACGAGATAAAAGCATCGAGGTGTTTGTTTACTTTCTAACACGAAGCAGCGCATGGCCGTACTCGCGATGCGATATACGATACAATACGATACGAGCGATACACAAGTTTTACACGAGGACACAAAACGCAACAGAAAGGTATCCAACGAAGCATTGATTGTCCCTCGTGTTGTTTTTGATTATGAGCAAAAAAAAAAAAAAAAAAGAACACTCCCACTTATAATCCACCCGACACTCCTACCTCACTCGACTAGACTATATATATATATATGTAAGTACTTACACGTTACGTATAACTAGAAAATAGAAAAGAGAGAGAAGGATGGGTGTGGTTAACAAGAAAAAGAAACTTAAAAAAAAAAAAAAATAAATAAAAAGAAAAAAGAAAAAGACAAAAAGAAAACGTTATGGTCGGATGATATATAAAAACAAACAAAAAAGAAAATAGAAGGAAACAAACTTACCATATAAAGACAGGCTCGTTTAGAAATAGACGATGATTAGTAGGTACAATAGGACGTTGGATGATCGGTCGTTCAGTCGGACGATTGGTTGGTTGGTTAGTCGTCGTCGTCGTGCACACGAAACGAGTTCTTTTGAAAAGTTCCTCTTCTACTGTTCGGACATCAGAGATTTACCGTTCCAACGACGAACGACAAGAAGATGCTGGATGTGGACGTGCAAGAGTAAGAGAAGAAGGAAGAAGAAGGACGATCATAGTCGATCCTCTCGTACGATTTCCTCGTGCTTTTCTTCTCTCTCTCTCCCTCTCTCTCTTATTTATTTTTCCTTTTCTAGAATCTTTTATTTCCTCTTCGTTCACTTGCAACAACACGACGCACTTTCTTCGTTTTCTATCTCTCTCTCTCTCTCTCTTTCTCTTTCGCGCTCTCGCTTGCTTTGCTTTGCTTTGCTTTGCTTTCTCTCTCTCTCTGTCTCTCTCTTTATGTTTCAATCTGTCTCTCTTACTACTTACTGTCTAGTCTCTTCGAGATTCTCATTTGCGCGATACGATCCGACTGTTACCCATCTCTCTCTCTCTCTCTTTCTCCTTTATATATCTTTCTTTGACATTACGAGAGAGAGAGAGAACGACGAGGACAACGATAACTACTACGAAGAGAGGAGGGGGGAACACACGCGCGAGAGAGAGAAGGATAAACGACGCGACGTACACACCAACCCGACGAAGAAGACAACGATTGGCTGGTGAAACGCACGCAGAAGGAGCACGTGTCGCCTCGTAAAAGTAGGATGGACGTTAATCTAATCTATTAGACGTAAATATGAATTAATCGAACTTATATCGACGATCTACGAAGGGATCATCTAATTTCTATCGAGTGTTTCACTTTTGAGGTTATGTTCGAGCATCTGGCGTCAGTTCTGGCTCACGTCGACTCGCGATCGCCTATGCTCCCTCCTTTTCCTTCTGTCTGTCTCTCTCTCTCTCTCTCTCTCTCTTTCTTTCTCTCTCTCTCTCTCTTTCTTTCTCTCTCTCTCTCTGTCTCTCTGTCTCTCTCTCTCTCTGTGCTTATCTCGAACGATAGAACGAAAAGCAAAGGTCTTGTATCCTATGAGGAACGACGTACGATTGTATAGGACGAAACCAAAGGAATGCGTTTTGTTGAATACAACGAGTTTTCGTGTTGCTGCTGCTGCTGCTGCTGCTACGTGTCTCGTCTATCTAGCTCTTTCTCCCTCTTTCTCTCTCTCTCTCTCTTTCCGTCTCTCTGTGTCTTTCCGTCTCCGTCTCTCTTTACCACGGGAGAACCGGTGAAAAACTGCGAGAAAATCCAGCCATGCTAGCTGCGCGACCGGCGTCGGACTGCCGCGTACGACGGAGCGGGGATATTCGATGCCACTCGAGTGGCATCGTCCGTTTCTATGTGTTAGTGCAACTCTCCCCACTCTTTCGTTCTATCATACTTACTACTCCTACTACACTACGCTACTACTACACTGCTACGCTACACTACTATATTACTACACACACGACGCGACGACGATGGCAGCGGCGGCGACGGCGGCGGCGGCGGCGGTGGTGGTGGTGTTGGTGGTGGTGGTGTTGGTGGTGGTGTGGTGGTGGTGGTGGTGGTGGTGGTGGTGGTGGTGGTGGTGGAGGTGGTGGTGGTGGTGGTGGTGGTGGTGGTGGTGGTGGTGGTGGTGGTGGTGGTGGTGGTGGTGGTGGTGGTGTTGGTGGTGCTGCTGGTGGTGGTGGTGCTGCTGGTGGTGGTGGTGGTGGTGGTGGTGGTGGCGGCGGCGGCAACGACGACGACGACGACGAAGCGACTCTCCCCTCTTGCGTCGCGCACGACGCACAACATGTCCGTTCGATCCCCCACCACTTCAACTGCAACCCGAGAATGCCCGACGATGCTCGTGGCCGACGACGAAGTCATCCGAATGGGTATAGAGGTAACTATGTTAGAGGAAATGAGACGAAACTACTGATGGTTTCGGCGCATGCGTTTTATCTTCTTTTCGCGGCACGCGGTCGCGCCCAAACGCATTACTTCGCGAGCTTCGTATTGATGTAGTTTATCCATTCGCACACGAGACACCGAGAGAACTAACCGATCTCTTCAATTATAAATAAACAATAAGATTTGCTTAGGTTTTTTTCTTTTTCCTTTTTTTTTTATTTATTATCCTTTTTTCTTCCTACCGACCTCTACACAAAGTATTTTTCATATCGTTCTTCGTCGGTATTAAAAAGCTTTTATCGCAATTCTTTTGTCAAATTCAAATTTATAAGAATACAATTGGACGTTATAATATGTGTATAATAAGATGATACAATGATAATCATGCGAATCGTACGTAGGATGACGCAATATTATGAACCCCCGTTTCCAGGGAATAATAATTCGCTGATTCTCTTAACTATCGACCGTGTTATATCCTCATAAATCCATTTGATTATTTCGCAGAGATCAATCGGAAGCTATTTAGATTACGATAGGCTTCGTTTCGTCGTAGCGTGAAATATGAATATGTATGTTCCTTTATTATTATTATTATTATTATTATCATCATCATTATCAATGTTATTATTGTTATTATTACTATTATTATTATTATTATATTTACTATAGAGCGTATATAACCATAATGCAAAACGATAAGATACGTTGTTTCGCATCGCAATATGATGCATTAATCGACCGCAGTCCCTCTAATCCTTGTGAATCCATTAAACGTCGTATAACGGATAGAACACGTTCGATTCGCCGAATAAATTTCTAACAAGCCGTTGCGATGCCCGAACCAACAATTGAACACAATCATCGTTTTCGTTTAGAAAAAGCTTCATCCAAAGGGTAGATATCTTTCAGTCGGAAACATTTCTACATTTAAACTACTCGCGCGCCGTGCTAGCAGGAAGAACTTTATTTTCCTTTTTAGAAAACATTTTCCCTTTTCTCAATTGAAACCGTTGAATTTCTGTTGGCGTTCGTTGAATTCTTGAACGCCATGCTATTCCGGGTGTAACAGGAATGGAGAAGAGGGGGTGGGTGGAGCGGGATGAGAAAGAGAGAGAGAGAGACAGAGAGAGAGAGAGAGAGAGAGAGAGAGAGAGAGAGGGAAGGGAGGGAGGCAGTGGTGAGTGGGCCCGCGATACGAAAAGGAGTCTCTGAAAATGGTTGCTGCCGCCACCATCGCTCCGCGAGTTAACTAATGAATTCCGGCGCGGTTATACCTCGACGGCTCGACTGCATTTCGAGGTCTTATCGTTGGTTGGAAATCAGCCTGCTTGGCAGATGTTCGCTAAAATCTCGACCTCTCTCTCTCTCTTTCTTCTTCTTCTTCTTCTTCTTCTTTCTCTTCTTTCTTTTTTTACTTTTCTCTCTCTTCTTTATTCTGAGCATCCACAGAGAGCATCACCTTTACCTAACATCCTTTCTTCGTCCAACGAAGAAGATAACAACCTAAGACGCTAAGTGCAAGCTCTTCGAGGATGCAAAAGCAGTAGCATCGCGAATGCAGCCACGAAACGCATTTTCCTTTTCGTCCTTTCACGATCAACCTGGTGGCATCTTGAATGCTCATAGCGAACACCAGTACAATCCTTTTCTTTCAAAATAAAAAAAAAAAACTATTTCCTTTCTAGTTTTACCTTAGAAAAGTATTCCATTTCGATTGGTCTTGTTATATTCGTATCTAATAAAGAAATGTTATCGTTTTTCTTACTACTTTTCTTTATCGAAAAGGAAGAGATAAAGAAAGATAGAAATAGAGAGAGAGAGAGAGAGAGAGAGAGAGAGAGAGAGAGAGAGACAGAGAAAGAAAGAAATTTTCTCTTGATCAAATTCTACAGCCAATTTACGATCGGTATTTCGAGTTTATCTCATTTACCATTACGATATTAAACATTACATTCGTAAAATATCAAAAGGGATATTTTCAGTTGTGTTTGGAAAAAGGAAAGAACCGAAAGGAAAGAAAACGAAAGCAAAAGAAAAGAAAGAAAGAAAGAAAACAGATATACCAGCGATATTAAATTTTGACGTTTTCTATTGCTTTATACGAACGAACAAAAAAAATGTGGTAAAAGCATATAGCAAGAGAGAACGTTGTATGCAATAAAAAAAAAAAAAAGAGAAAAAAAAGAAAAAAAAAAGAAAAAGAAAGAAGTGATAGGGACGCGCCAACGTTGACTTTTTTCATTTTTATTTTTATTTTTATTTATTCTTTTTTTTTTTTTTCATCATCATCATCGAAATCCAACAAAAGAGAATGTGCGTTTCGCGTTATTTTCTTCTTTTTGTTTTTTTTTTTTTTTTTTTTTTTTATTGCCCCGACATGATTCTATAAATTTACATTCAGACAGATCTACAAATTATAAAGTCGTTTGGAACGAACAAAGTAAGTGCAAGTCCGAGGCGTGCTTCCCAAAGCTCATCAAACTCGATGGAAAGGAATTTTTATTCATCGTCTTTGGATCGTTTTCGGTCCCGCTAGTTTTCATCGTCCAATTAGCATATTGCTAGCTTTTCATATAACGGCCCTTGCTCGTCGCTTGAATTCCGATTGTAATTTCCGCATTTGTTTCCGTAAGCTTTCGAGTTGGACGATCCGAATTGAAAGAAAGAATCTTTTCCTTCGGGAAGCTTGCGGCGAATCTCTCTTTCTCACTCTCTTTCTCTCAATCTTTCTCCCTTTCTCGTATTTTGTTCTCCCTCATAGAGGGATCTACCCCTTTTGCTTTTTGCCGAACCACCAGAGAGGGAGAAGAACGGAATTCCATAATGCTAGTTTCGTCGAACTTAACGAGTTTTCAAACGATTAGACTTTTAATTGATATTACCTTATAAAACTGATTAAAATTTTCTTTATATATATATATATATATATATATATATATATATATATATATAAAAGTATATAAATGTTTACTCGCTGTTTTAGCTTACATAGTTAATTTCAAGTTGACTTTATTGTTTGCGCAACATTGACTGTTTACAAATTTCATATTGTTCAATATCGATCCTAAATGTAACTTTGTAATTTCTTTATCTCTCGCACGTTTCGACAACTTTTTATCTTTTAATCCGGCCGACATGGAGAATGGTACAAAAAAAAAAAAAAAAAAAAAATAAATAAATAAATACGGGCTTCTCTTCTTGACCTGGAATAATGACGACCGAAGAGTACTTTATTTTTAATTTTATTTCATAAGAATTTTTGTAAAGTGCACAGTATCGTAGTTTTAAAAGTACACTGAATGCCCCGGCGACGGCCGCCGACTCTCTCAAGTTTCGTTCCAAGAACTTTCAAGTATACCTGTTTCTTCCGGAGTGTACACAAGCATATTTTTTTTCCTCCGGCCGAGTTTTACGAGGGGAAATGAAATTTTCTTCCACTCGACCCTCGATGATACAATCACGTTTCTCCTCCGTAGAGTAACAGGAAATTAAATTCTTTTTTTTTACCTTTTTGCTTTGTATTTTTTAATTTTTTCTTTTTTTGCTCTCTCTCCCTCTCTCTCCCTCTCTCTCTCTCTCTCTCTTTTCATATCTGTCTGTCGCTTTTTTTTTATATAATACCACAAAAGATAATGCGTAATGTAAAAAAGAGAAACGAGAGAAGTCATGATCATGGATGTTCAGCGCAAACTTTTAATAATATCTCTCCTTTCGGTCATCCGATAACGATGTTATCCCATTCGAGTAATGATGGAATGATGGGGATGAGATTGTAGCGATAGAAAAGGAGAGATGAAATTAGGGGTAAAAATGAATAATATTATTTTTGTCAAACGAATCTCTCTCTCTCTCTCTCTCTCTCTCTCTCTCTCTCTCTCTCTCTCTGTCGGTATAATAAAGATTCGTTGATAATAAACTTATCGATGATAGGTTTTTTTTTGCTTATTTCTTTTCATTTTGATTTCATTTTGATTTCTTTTCATTTCTTTTCAAGATGAGAAAAAGAAATAGTCATCATCGTTATCATCATCATCATCATTTGAAAGGTGTATTCATTGATTCGATGTAACAGTGAGCAGCTTTCTAAAACGTTTGTTCGTGCAATCTCGTAACGGCTTTGTCGTACGAAACGACAAACCCCCTCCTCGTTTTCCTTTTATTTGTCTTCCCACTCTCGAAGCTTGGCGGCACATCCACAGACTCTGGTGTCTACTACCTCCTTCAGCATTCTCATTGGGGACGAACTACGAAGGACAATATGCGTTGCTACCACCACGAGACAGTCTGTTCTTTGTCTCTCTTAAGACCACCCCTCTTTCACTCCACCCTTCACCGGACACATTCCTCTCTTCTCGCGAGAAACTTTTACGATCGCCACCCTCTTCCATCTTCCATTCTGGCTTTTTACCGTAAAAAAAAAAAAGAAAAAGAAAAAAAGAAAAAAAAAAAAAAAAAGAAAAAGAAAAGAAAGGAAGGAAGAAAAAAAAAAATAAACGATACAAACGTTTCCTCCACTTGCGAACGAACAATT